AAGTTAGTGCTGATGATGTCGTCCAGAAAGACGATGAAAGCTTCACGATTAAACAACCCAGTTCAGAGAACACAACACAACCAAGACCATTCACCTGAGCTACAAATATTCTCCATTATTCTTATGGAGGTCTCCCTCTCGTCACTGATTACACATACGTTGAACTAATCGTGGGAAGATTTTCGTCAGACCTAGAGTATGTAAATGATATAGTCCTGTTAAGTTAAGACGCTGACAACATGCCGAGTCTTCTGAACACTTTGAGTGTTTGGGGTGCGTTTCTCACTACCCAAATGCAAATTATTGCTCCAGGACTGGTCTTCAACGGTGCCTCACCGCGGCTAACAATAGAGAGTGTAATGGTTGAGTGTGTCGACTACCTCACTAACCTGGCAAGTAGGATCAGCCCTGCCCTGGTGGCTCAGTGGCAGATGAAATTTCTGCACAAAAGGTTCGGCTGGCTTTTGCCACCTATGGCGCTGATGTGATATCCAATTATCGATTAAGAGTCACGTGTACTGCACAGCAGTCCGCTCTCTTCTACTGTATAGCTGTGAAACATGGTCATTAAAGGTGGAAGACATAAGGTGGCTTCAGGTGTTTGACCACCATTGCCTTCGTGGTATAGGCCGTATTTTGCATTGTCATCACGTCAGTAACACAGAAGTCAGGTGTAGAGTTTTAGGGAGTAGAGGTAAATCAGTTGACAAGGTTGTGAACCTTCATTGACTGAGATGGTTGGCTCTGACATGTGTTACGCATACCTAGTTGCTGATTGCCCCATCACATGTATTACAGTGAATAGAGATCTCATTATTTTATTCGCTGACTAATTTTAAAAAGAGCGGATGATGAGATCTGATCACGTGGACACATTAATATGCTCGCCAGAAGATTGAGAAGTTCTGCACTATATCTACGATGATACTGAGTATGTTCACTGTTAATGATTTTAAACCAAGTAATCAACAATTGCATAGTGTTTCTTATTTTTCCGGAAAAGATATCAGTGTATCATTAAAACTGCATTCAAAACAATAATTTCTAGTAGAAACCAATCATATTGACTACTAAGTTTCATAACAGGTTCAAAATAATGTCATCGAAAAACATCTTCAGCTGCTCCAAAACTGTAGATCTGACAAACATCACTTCATTTTTAAGATAGATTTTATAAAGTTAGATAAGAATGAAATCCCCAGTTACAGTTGTCAAATTACTCACTAGACACATAGTTCCAGTAACCAATTAGAATTAGAGTATACACCGAGACCATTGATTTCGAGAAAGGCGTTAATCTTAACAGCGACGCATAATTCTAGAATGCATTTAGTTAGTCTCACAGAACTACTATAGGCTTTATATTCCCGAAATACATGCGCTTATGTACTGCGAATTAACAAGCGGGTATAACTTTATGAACTAGGCCACAATCATGTTACAACCAATGGAGCTATGCCTAATAATTGGAAGGAGGGGTTGTGATAGTTACCAGCTGAAGTAGATGAGATGGGGGATTGAACACAGGTTCTAATGCTTGACAGCTGGGTATTAAACGGAATGCGTTTCTCACCACTCAAATGCAAATTATTGCTCCAGGATTGGTCTTCATCACATATCCTTAGGAACTCGGTTGTTATAAGACTCCTCTATTTTGTTTTAAACTAGAACGACCAATAGTAAAGGCCAGTCAGAAAGAACCATATCCATATCCCCAGCTAAAATATCAGCCTAACGAACTAGAATTTGTGATGAGTAATCCCGTGTTCCCTTGACTCATTAACTTATTGTTCATCTTTGATTTTGCACCTTCATTTATTTCTACATATTTAAGGTATGTTATGCCGTTATTACTGCTAATACTTCATTTCAATTGTAGGCTGTTTGCAGTTCATGAAAGGTTGTGAAATAAAATGAGCTAATTTTATTCTGCAAATGTCTTTGTTCTTGCATTGTTCAAATTTGTCAAGGGGAATATATGTATGACATTACGGACACCTCTCCAGTTCCATCCTCCGAGAAAGTGTGGTGGCCTGTCAGGATATAATAACGTTCCTCTCCACATGTTAGTTGTAGTTAACGCGATTATAACAAAAGTGACTTAGAGATCCGATGTTACCATCCCACTAAGTCTACAGTTAAATGATGAATTGGTGGCTATCAGAACTTAAATGTAGCAAGCGCTCACAAGCATCAACAGTCTGATCAAGGATAGTGCATTACGAAGAAAATGTCTTTCCACTTGATTGAAACTTTATAGTTGTATATCCGTTCTCGTAGGATATCTGACAGTCCTTTGATTTCATCTTAGTATGGTGTCACTTTCAGCAACATGAAAATTTAAAGGCGTTTATACAAGCCATAGTATTGATGGCATTTAATATCAACTAGAAAGACTTCTACTTTGATATGATACATATTAATTATATCAAACAAGTGTTTATTTTATGCCTAGTGTATCAGTAAACCCCTAGAATACTTTAGTCCTGAACACTCATACGTCGGAAAAAGTCTCATAGTTGGAGACCATTGAAAGCTGCAGTTTTCAATTTGGTATTTTTAAATAGATACCTCGCCTGGTTAACTAGTTACTAGCCGATCCTAAGCCCGAATAAAGAGGGAAGGTTGGGTTTACAACCGGCAACCCTACCCCGTAAAACCAATCTAACCGCTAAAGAAACTTCAAACCACAAAGCAAATATAAAAAACAAACTTATTCCCCGCTGGAATCAGAGAGGTGAAATGACGCCGGTTGGTGAAAGCCTTCGAGAAGCCAACCTGGCCGAGGTGTCTTCTCTCTCTCGATGAAAGTAAAAGTAAGAATGGGAAGATGGAATGTCCGCAACATGTATGAACCTAGCAAGGCTGCTCAGATTGCAGAAGAAATGAGAAGATATAGCATGGAAGTGCTAGGAATCTGCAAAAGCAGATGGAATGGAAGTCAACTCTTGAATCGACTACCACCACCACCACCTGCAACTTGTCCAGAAATATCACCAGCAGCCCAGCCACAGAATTACTAGTGAACAAAAGCCCTCCTTTAAAAGCGGAAGTATTGAACACCATAAAGTTGCTGAAGCCGCAGGACCAGATGGAATTCCTTCAAAAGCACTGAAAACGGACACAGAGACAACAGCGAACATGCTCACACAACCCCGCTATTGCAGAAGGTTTGGAAGGAAGGAAAGGTACCTGCCGGTTGATTGGAAGAAGGGCTATCTTGTCAAACTCCCAAACAAGGGCGTCCAAAGCCTTTGTAAGAACTAAGACGGAATCATGATCCCTCCCTGTCCAACCCATGCAAAATATAATGCTGCATCATCCTGGAGAGACTGAAAAACGCTCTGCATTCAAAATTACGACCGGACCAGACTGGGTGGCTGCCTGCCTTCAGGAAGAACAAATCATGTGTGGATCAAATTGCAATGATACGCTATGCATTATCATAGAAGAGATTATGCAATGGCAGTCAACTCTCTACCTTACCTCAACTTCAACGACTTCGAAAAGGCCTTCGACAGCGTCGAGTGAGAAGTAATTTGGCAGCTTCTGCTTCAACACTACGGTTTCAGTGCCACAAACCGTTATCAACCTCATTCAACAGCAGCTATATGCTACGCTATATAATGAGGCTAAATGCCGAGTGATTCACTGCATAATGGAAAGCTCAGCTCAGTGATGCCTTTGAAGTGAAGACAGGAAGGAGTAAAACAGGGCTGCCACTTACTATCATCGATAATTTTCCTGATTGTGGTCGACTGGATCATGCAACAAACTGCGAGGAGTGAGAAGACGGGCATATGCTGTTTGATAGATGAAAAGACGCACGAGGATTTAGATTTCGCAGATTTAAGCCTAATGTCGCACAAACTTGAAGATCTACAGGCGAAAACTAGCAATAACATTAGATATAGATTATATGTCCCATACTATATGATGAAATTTTGATTATAGTTTATATAAAGAAAACTAGCAAGCTGACAGAAGAGGCAGGGTGGAGAAGACGGGGCTTCCTTCATGTGAACGTAGAGAAGACAGAGGTGATGAAGATACCCAACCAACAACATCAACAACAAAAACAAGCACCAATCATCATAAACGGGAGAAACCTGAAGGAAGTAGTCTGTTTCACTTACCTAGACAGCATTGTTTCAACTACAGACGGCAAAGATGAAGATGTCAGAACCAGGATTGGAAAGGCAGCAAGAGAGACCTTCTTGTATTAATCTGAAATCAGTGTGTGATCTCAGTTCAGCATAAGGAAAATCCAGATTTTAAACACTAATTAAGTCAAGTCAGTGCATCTATGTGATGGTTGAGAGACTTGGCGCATCACGAAAAGCATTTCTAACAATCTAAAGACATACATCAACAGCTGCCTTCGCTCAATACTGAAGATCAGATGGCCAGAATAATTAGAATAAGCAACAAGGAACTCTGGGTGGCTGGCAACGAAGCAACAAGGCAAGAACCTATGGCTCGACAAATATGTAGAAGAAAGTGGAGATGGATTGGATTGGACATACACTGAGAAGACCATTTGGAGACATCACGTGTCAAGCCAGGCCGTCGAGTGGAACCCACATGGGAAACGGCGAGCTGGGCGTCAGAGGCGAGGACGACATGGAGGAGATGGTGTGAGGAAGAAACGAGAGCTTGTGGTTCAAAAGACTACAGAGAAGTGTGAAACTGAGACATACTATTGAAGCTATATGTTCCACTAAGAACCCAAGAGACAAATAATAATAAATAATAATTTTCACATAAAACTAAATATTCATCGTACTTAACATTAGGAATCTGCACAGTAATATCTCTAATGTATCTTCAGCACTGAATTTCAATAGTACAACTTTGTCAGATGATACAGTGAGAAAATACATATACTCCCCATACCACTACTAATCCCAATAACTGATATGCAGTATATTAGGACTTTGCCCAATCCAATTTTATGAAAGCTTAGTAAGTGAAAAGGAACAAAACAAAAAACTCTAAATATCCCAAGAATAATTTTCATTATACAGGAAAAAATTTCAGAAATTTACAAAAAAGAAGAAGTGAAGTAATAATGAATGAATTGTGAAATCACCACACATAAGTAAACGCATATGAGGATATCGTGAACCGATCCTCCTATAAATGAATGACTATGCAAGGATTTTCTAGGATGGATAAAGGAGATGAAATAAAGAAAAATTGAGTGTATATCCACGGAGATAGAGTAAATGCATCAGAGGCACTATTCCTCAAAAGTTGATGATACACTAATAATACGCAAAATATATGTTGATACACAAGTCTACAACACAATGAATACAATGAAAGTTATTGAAGTAAGGAAGAGAAAAAGACAAAAGTAGAAGAGGAGAATGTGTGTGTTTTTAATTGAAATATCACTGTTATTTGTGCTGTGGTTGTGTATACACATGGAGTAGTAAAAAGAGTAGAAATAAACACAGGGCAACAACATTACGCCAAATACACACATTGTAAAGATAAAATATAAGCAAGTCTTACAACAAAGGAAGATCAAAAGACGATAAGTCAGGAACAGGGTAGGAAGAAACTTACCAAACGGGAAAATAATAACAACAAATGAAAACAAAACATACTCACGAGAAGGGTGCATAGAATGTAGGAAAAAAGAAGAACAAATTGTTCGTCCTTGTAGAAATAAACTTTAAATACATATCTCCCATATACATTATTATATCCAGATAACGAATCATCCTGTCATATATCTATCTAATAAAGACAGGATAGATGGAAGAAAAACGAGAAAATCAACTGGAAGAGAAAAAAGAGAATGGTATTCGAAAAAAATTTGATAATTGACGTCTTTACTTCTCACCCATAAAAGTGTATATAAACGGAGGATGGAATGATAGAAATAGAAGCAGTAATTTCAATATAGGTGCCAGAAATGTGTGCACATTCCATTCCATCCATCCATTCATATATATATATATATATATATATATATATATATATATATATATATGAATGGATAAATTACTGCTTTTATTTCTATTATCCCTTCCCCCCTTTATATACACGTATACGGGTGGGGAGTAAAGATGTTAATTATCAAATTCTTTTCGAATACCATTCTCTTTTTTCTCTTCCAGTTGATTTTCGCGTTTTGCTTCATCATCATCCGGATATAATAGTGTATGTGGGAGATATGTATTTAAAGTTTATTTCTACAAGGACGAACAATTTGTTCTTCTTTTTTCCTACATTCTATGCACCCTTCTCGTGAGTATGTTTTGTTTTCATTTGTTGTTATTATTTTCCCGTTTGGTAAGTTTCTTCCTACCCTGTCTTATCGCTTTTTAATCTTCCTTTGTTGTAAGACTTGCTTAAATTTTATCTTTACAATGTGTGTATTTGGCGTAATGTTGTTGCCCTGTGTTTATTTCTACTCTTTTTACTACTCCATGTGTATACACAACCACAGCACAAATAACAGTGATATTTCAATTAAAAATACACACATTCTCCTCTTCTACTTTTGTCTTTTTCTCTTCCTTACTTCAATAACTTTCATTGTATTCATTGTGTTGTAGACTTGTGTATCAACATATATTTTGCGTATTATTAGTGTATCATCAACTTTTGAGGAATAGTGCCTCTGATGCATTTACTCTATCTCCGTGGATATACACTCAATTTTTCTTTATTTCATCTCCTTTATCCATCCTAGAAAATCTTATTTAGTCATTAATATTACAATTATAACTACCACTAATGCAATTAGGCTCTTGTATCTTTATGATAGAGTTCATCAATTTCACGTTGAAAACGTGTTTGTAAGTTGAAACGTTTCAATTTTAATGCATCTGTAACAAGACCAGTATCAGGTGTCCAAGCGATAGTATCTAAACCAACTTTTTGAGGTATTTCAAATGAACTTAAACGTTTTTCTCTAGCAACTCGATGTAGATCTTTTAATACGGCAGATATTATCTAAGATTTAAAAACAAGAAAAAAAGGAGAACATGAACATTACATCAGTGAAATGGAATACAGTCACAAATAATAAATATTTCTTAAGATTATTAATGCTAAATGCGCTTAAAAAGCATATCATTATCCAATATATTTTCTCAAAATCATTTGTACAAGTATTCAGAAGTGAATTTATGGTGATAATTTTAGCGAATAGTTGTTTTGGTTTAATCACTCTTACTTCATATTGATGTTTATCAGTCTTTTACAACAAGTCATCAAAGTTATATACTTACATCTTATAGGTTGCTCAATGTATAGTTCATAAAATCTCTACATGAAATAGCATTTTAGTTGAATTTTGCAAAACAAAAACATGTGAATAATAAACAATAGTGTGACTTATTCTGTAGTTACAAAACAGAAAATGTTGTCATTAGAAGTGTCAGTTGATGAAAGAAGTAACTTTAGATATAAGATTAAGGTCAAATACTCAAAGAAAACATCATTGATACATTAATATTTATGACGTTACGTGTATACAAAAATGGTGGTAGAGTGCTCTTAGTCAGGTTAACGGACGTGTTAGCCAGTATATGGGAATCAAATACGATCCCCTCTGACTGGTCTAAGTCACTCATCATCCCAGTCTTCAAGAAACGCGAGAAGTCCTCTTGTGACAACCACAGAGGAATCAGCCTGACGAACATAGTATCCAAAATCCTAGGTTCTATAATTCTCCGACGCCTGAGTGGAACTAGGGAACAGCAAGCCCGAGAAAACCAGACAGGCTTTAGACCTGGCCGCGGGTGTATCGACCAAATATTCACATTGCGCCAGGTCCTGGAACATAGGCATGCTTACAGACGCCCGACAATAGCTGTATTTCTCGACCTGAAGGCGGCATTTGACTCCGTTGATCGAGAAGTCTTATGGCAATGTCTCTCACTGAAAGGCGTGCCTAGTAAGTACATCACCTTATTGAAAGCTCTCTACTCGAACACTTGTGGGCATGTTAGAGCCTATGACGAGTTGTCCAGGGAGCTATACTCATCAAGTGGTGTCCGTCAAGGATGCCCACTATCTCCATTCTTATTTAATTTTATCATAGATATTCTTATGGAGGTTTCCCTCTAATCACCTAATTACACAGACGTTGACCCAATCACAGGTGAATTTTCCTTAGATCTAGAATATGCAGATGACACAGTCCTGTTAGGTGAAGACGCTGACAAGATGCAGAGTCCTCTGAACACTTTGAGTGGGAATTCGAGAATGTTTGGGATGCGATTTTCACCACCCAAATGCAAATTTTTGCTCCAGGACTGGTCTTCAACGGTGCCCCACCGTGGCTAACAATAGAGAGTGAAGTGGTTGAGTGTGTTGACCACTTCACTTACCTGGGAAGTAGGATCAACCCTGTTGGGTTAGTTGCCGATGAGATCTCTGCACGGATACAAAAGGCTCGATTGGCTTTTGCCAATTTGCGCCACCTATGGCACCGCCGTGATATTCGTTTGTCTATTAAGGGTCGCGTGTACTGCACAGCAGTCCTCTGTTCTACTGTATGGCTGTGAAACATGGTCATTGAAGGTGGAAGACATGAAAAGGCTTCAGGTGTTTGACCACCATTGCCTTCGTAGTATAGGACGTATTCCGTGGTGTCACCATGTGAGTAACACAGAAGTCAGGTGTAGAGTTTTAGGGAGTAGAGGTAAGTCAGTTGATGAGGTTGTGGACCTTCATCGACTGAGATGATTGGGACACGTACTACGTATGCCTAGTTACCGATTACCTTGTCACACAATGTTGGCTGAGGTGGGTCCAGGCTGGAAAAAGGCCCGAGGTGGCCAGACTAAAACATGGCACCAATGTATGAAGTCTCTGACTGTTGGTTTAAGCCATGTAGGACGATGCAGACTAGGTGGTTGGGGTCCGCGGGACAAGAGGAACCAGTGGTTGGAGACTGTAGGTGATATGGCTCAGAACCGATGTCAGTTGCGCAGATGTATACACACATTATCCTCATCCTAACTACACTATACCGAATCTCACCATTTTGTCACTCTTCTTTTCTTTCTTCTCGTACTTTATATTTCTTTTGACTGCATTCACTTATCTTCATCCTTCACCTCACTACCTTTTTACTTGATGAACTGACGTGAGGTGTGGCAACTCGGACCGTTACGCAGTAATGCCTGGTCCTATGTTGATAATGATGATGATTATGTAGTTCAATTATCAAATAAAACTACCAAAGTTATTGTGAATAGATGAAGTATTGTACTGAGATTAGAGAGAAATATAGGTGAACTATGTTTACTGCCTATATAAAAGATTTATGAGAGGCAAAAAATCTGCAAGTAGAAGTCTACGAGTAACGCTTCTGTTATAAAGTTTACAGGCTATTTCCTTTGAGTACAACATCACGATATGTATGGTAGTCCTATTGAAATGGGAAAGTTGGGAAGAAATCAAATCAAAAAAGTGGACAGCACTAAAAGGCATCATTTAGGAATTAATGTAATATAAGCCTGGGTGGTGGGATATGTGATTCACAAATTGTAATAACACTGTACAATACAAACCATTGCTTAACTAGACTAAACTAATTATTTTACACTGATTAGATCAAATCCACTTCCTATGTGGTATAACTGATTTTATCCGGACACTATTTAAATCTGAGAAATCAGAAATATTGACCTTGAAATTCTCTGTTTATTCAAGAAATTCAATAAATAGAGTCACACAAACATCCTTTCACACAGTTACTTTGGTAATCACGATATGAAAGTATCAAACTGTTTGCTTTAAATCAGGCGTAAGCGTGGGTGTACTTCTCTTACCCAGAATAGACAAACATTTATAAGCCAATGAAATTAATTGAGATGATAAGGACCTTGAAAAGGACATCCATGTCACACTACATGACGTGATCCTTTAGCTGAATTGAAATTTTATTGAACAAAGGAAGAGAGAGAATGGTCTGCACATAATAGCTCTGGGATCAAGTACTCAGGATAGTTCATTAGGAAATATATGATGGATTACACTGTTGAATACGATAGATAAAAAAACATTCTCAAGTTCAGATGCCGATTATTTTCTATCAAAGGGAGAGAAAAAACTAACCTGAGGGTGTTTACAAAGAACAGCCCGTTGAACGTGTTCAATAGCAACTGGATCTTTTAATGATTGTTCAGGGAGTTTCGCACGAGCTTCCTCAAGTAATTGAAGTAGGTTCAGTGATTCCGCTAATTCAAGAAGAGGTTTTAATTTCGGTGATACGAAACAAATGGGATAATTTTGTGTTGGATCCACGTAAACGCAGATTTGTTCGACGTAAACTGACTGACTAAGAGCCAGTTCAACTTTGCTCAGCGAGACATATTCACCAGCTTGCAACTTGACAAGATCCTTTTTACGATCAATAATCGACAAGCTTCCATCTGTGTGCATTAGTCCAATGTCGCCTAATGGATACATAATATGTAAAAAGGGATACGCAAAGTAATAAAAAATTACTCTTAAAAATAAAAACTACTAAGCTTTTGCAGACAAATTTTGAATCATAGTCGCGTCAGAACCATCAATAAACTCAGAAAAATCTAAACTTACCATACAACTGTCAGCTACCTTTCCCACGTAATGACTGACTGCTATCTGGATCCCAAGGAGTAACTAAAGATGAGGTTTACCTAGTAGTTGGTAATCAAGATAATAAGTTTGTGGTCACAAAGTATTAGCTTAGTGGAGATAAGTAGCGAAAAATATACCCGATGCCCTCTAGCAAACAGCCATCTGTAGCGTAAAATCCTCTGATGAATGATTGTTCCAACTTAATTCGGATATGCCTTATAAGTTTCAGAGAGGCAAACTACAACAAAGCTAACAATATATACTCCGAAGATTTGGAAGGGAAAAAATACTGTTACATAAAACACTACCACCAGGAGTACTAATCGTTGAACCATGAAAGAAAAACGTGGTAAGATGTGTTGCGTGGACACATGGCCCAGGCTGTCGGTCTGAGCTATGCAGTCAAATGTAAACTTCCCGGTCGGGGTCCGTGTCACAACAGAAACCAACGGTTGAATAACCGTGGTGATGTGGGTCAGATGTACCCAAATTATGATCTTAATCACCTAACTGAATATCAGCATTCTCTCATTCTTCCTTGCCCGCTTTTGATAACTTCTTACTGCTTTCTTTAAGAGGATGACCAATTTGCAAATGACTTACAAATTGTACACTTCACGTTGACATTTCTCACGACTGAGTAGTTTTGAAACTGTTTGTGTTGTAAATAGGGTGTCTGTTGGGAGCCACTCATCAGCTCGGCCCGAAAAGAGGGAAATGGCTGTAGTGTTTAGATTACTCTGATCTGGTTAGCGAAATCAAAGATCAACGTGAGCGGATACTGATTACTCAGTTTGTTCATTAAAATGCTTTCTTCCTTCCTTCCTTCTTTTCATCTTGATGCATTCCCGCTTGGTGTGTTGACACGACGTGGGTGAAAACTTAAACCGTTAAGCAGTAATTCTAGGACCTACGTTTACTTTGCTGATCTGTCACGTGTAGACGATAGAAAAAAGTTCAAACTGAATTTTTTTTTCTGTATTTCTGAAGTACAGCCTCACCTTCCATGCAAACTTGAATAAATAACCTTTCGTTGACGTCAATGAAAACTAATACGGCGGAAGAACCATAGGCTATAAAAAAAACTCGATCGTTTCATTTTTATGTATACATTTTATAGTCGATCATTTTGACATCTCGGATGGGAATACTAGCAAACCTTTAGTGCATCCACAATTCCATATGAAGAAACGAATCAGCTGTAAGGTGAAATAGTTGATTAGCAGGAAACTTTACACAAAACTTCCTCCCTTATAAGCATTGATCAACAAAGCGGCTTTGCGAACTTCTTTAATAATCCAGTCAGAAACATTTTTGATAGGCTAACAGAGTCAAAACAATTCAGAATTGAAACAGTAGTTTCTATATGAATCGATTGCTACATAGTAACTGATATCCTGGAGTTTAGGTCGCAGTGATGACTGAAAACTACTCATTAAGAAACACAATTTGATCACGAAACTAGATGATTCGAAAGTGACTCTAAAGGTTACCTTAGGAACAACTGAAATAGCAAATTAGAATTCTTTAGTTTATGAAAAGCTGTCTTTCTGGCCGAAATAGAGAAACCGAATTGGTCATTTCTAGCGACTTTAACGGTCACCCTAGCAAGTGAAACAACCAATCACATTTCTCTATTCTATGAAAAACTGCCTTTGTAGCCGACTTCATTGGTTATTTTGGGAGTTGTTCTTAAAATCACTCTTGTATTTTATGTAGTATGGGTGACACTCATCAAGACATTTTGTTTCGACAGTTTAGATATATGAGTTAAGTGTTATTGGAATGGAAACACCAAGCGTGTTGTATATGCTATATTGTGAGGTGTTAAATAATATTGATTCGTCAAATCGATTAAACGGACCAATTTAATATGTTTAGATCACAATCGTAGACAAGGTATATTATCCATGGATATATTGGCATAGATATACAAAACCTTAAGAGTCATATGCATCTGCAAGCATACAGCAAAATTTAACTTCACGACAGACCTAATGAACAGCTGAATGAGATTTTTTGATTGACTTTCCAAAAAGATGACTCATATTGTGTGTGTATGTGTGGTATGCACACTCACTGATGGATGTGAATAGACGCAAAAATTAAGACCATATAATCATGACAATTATAGCAGGCTAATAGACAATATGATATTAGGAATCGATTGAAACTATGACTGGTTCCAACCGATAACATTGCCTTTACTATTCAATAAAGGATTGACAGCACAACAGAACACGGCAGATAACATAATACAGCACACTAAGACACCTTCAGTTTTCAATACAAAAAATGTTTTTGTAGTTATAACGACATAGTCATAGGAATCAAAACGGTCAACTTTGGTACTATGAAAGTTCACCTCACTTTATGAGTACCATAGTAAAATGTTTATCCAATAACACTAAGCTTGTTTAACAGCAAAACAATCACCACCAATTGGTAGATGCATAATGTAACTTTTGTACACTGTGAAGTTGTTTATAAAGATTGAAACAATCCTGCAAGTTCAAATCGTATGCAGTGTTAAAGTTTTGTGTTAAAAGTAGACAAATTTGCCTGAAATATGGCACTGAAAAGCAGCTGTTGAAGATAGGCAACGATACTGACAAAATGCAAAGTTTAGTGAACACATTGAGGAGAAATTTGAGTATGCTTGGTATACGTTTAGCACCAGACTGGCTTGCACCGATTCATAATCTAAGCATAGAGGGTGAATTGATGGGACGCATCGACAACTTCACTTCGTTGGAGAGTTGTATCAGCACAAGTAAATTGGCTGCTGAAGAAATCCTGATATTTTCCAATTTAATACATCGGGGATGTATTTTACTACCTATCTAAGGATGACTGTGCTGGGCTGTAGTTTGTTCTGTCCTATTTATAAGACTATGAAATCATGGCCTTTGAAACTACGACGTATGGAAGAGACCAAAACATTTTGACTATAGACACCTTCACAACATCGCTCGAGTGTGATGGAATCATTATATATGAGCAACATTAAGGTTAGGCATAGAGTACTAGGTCAGAAAGGTAAATCAGTTGACCAAATTGTGAACTTTCACCAGCTGAAACTTGGAAACATGTCGTGCATGCCAAACCCCAGTTTATTTCAACGTACATCGTTCATCAAAATACGATTGCGTTGTAAAAAAAAAAGATACTACTGATACCAGACCAAAACATTACACCATGATGGGACTAAAGTTGTACACTATTTGAGATTTCCAAAGTATGATGAAAAAGAAGGTCAGATGATTTTTTTTAACCAACCAATACACATTCACAAAATTCATCTTCAGAGATATGAGTTAATAAACTGAAACTGATACTATTTCAGAAACTTTCTAGTAATTTAATAGAGTTGTCTCAATATCAAACACAGTTAACTTGTTGATCACATGGGACAGTCTTCTGATGTTCATCTGTAAGCGAGAATTAACTCATCCAACAGAGTGGTTGAAAAAAACCCTGAGTTAATATCATTGTATATAATAACAGAGCACGTGATATATACTTTTAATTACTATATCAAAAAAACAAACCACGCAAAAATCTCATGTTTAGTGTTGGATACACAAACATATGCAGTAATGAAAGTAATATTATGACACTTTTTGTAGCACATGATTAAGTTCAGATTACATTTAAACACTAGTTGCACCCCAACCCCGTGACTGATGGACATTAAGTTCTGGTCATAATTATGTTGTATAAGTGTTAAATTAGTTTACATAACTTATGATAACAAAAGGAAGACTCAATAGCACGTTACTTTAATGTAATAACTTTATGCATCAACAGTAATGAAATATGCTGTCCCAAGAACTAACCTGTACAGAACCATCGTGTGCCATCTGATTCAGTGATGAAATCTCTAGCTGTCAATTCAGGTTGTTTGTAATAGCCTCGAGAAACAGGTTTACCAGAAATTAGAATTTCCCCACGTGGTGATGGTGTATCATAAGGAGAATAACCACCTTCAGGCCAGGCTCTCAAACGAATTTGTACAGTAGAAGGTGGTGCTCCAGTATGATTACATCGTAGATCACCACATTCCATCAGAGCACCAGCAGAACAAGTTTCAGTAAGTCCATAACTTAAAAGTGAAAGAAAAGAAAGCTTATTTAACAGTAAAAACAAGTTAAATGAAGTGCTACCAATGCTTCCAACAGCAGAACCATAGTTTCAATACAAGCTTACATACTATTAATTTATGACGACTGATTAAACCAAAGTAAATCAGACGCAACAATATTTATGTTCGGAGTCTAGTCTAATGGACAAGACAGAATATGCACTTAAATATAAGCCATGACAGTGATTTTGATTATAATCTTCAGATGATAAGAAAGGATCATACAATTTATTTGAGCATTAGTTACCAATACAAAGCGAAGTAATCAGGCAATTTTTGGGCTCTTTAAGAAGCCAAACATAATCAGCAAGAAAAACTACCTTACAGTTTAATGACCACGATAGGACTGAAAAAAGTAGTTAACTGCATATAACATATCAGTTTACACTATAAGAAGTAATGTTCTCTCACACTACACATGCAATTAATTTTTTTGTAATACTTTACCTATGAATTGGGCATAGGAGCTAAATTCAAATTATTGTGTTATTATTTTCCTAGTGGAACATAGGGCTTCAGTAGCACGCATCCATTTCACTTTGTTCTCTGCAGTCTTTTGAACCTAGCTCCACGACTGACTGCCCACAAGCTTTCATTTCTTCCCCACACCATCTCCTCCATGCCACCCTCGCCTCTGACGCACAACTCGTCGTTTCCCCTTCGTATTCCACTCGTGGGCCTCGCCTGGCACGTGATGTCCCAATCGGCCTTCTCAGTGTGTGCCCAATCCATCTCCACTCTCTTCATCTGCATATTTGTTGGGTGATAGGTTCTTGCCTCATTGGTTCGTTCCCAGAGTTCCTTGTTGCTTATTCGTATTATTCTGGCCATCTGATTCTCAGTATTGAGCGTAGACAGCTGTTGATGGATGTCTGTAGTTTGTTGGAAGTGCTTTTCGTGACGCGCCAAGTTTTTGAACCATATAGCAGCGCTGACTTGACCTTGGTGTTGAAAATCCGAATCTTGTTCTTTGTGGTGAGTGTAATAGATCCCCAAATTCAAATTGCATGGATAATATAAATACCATTGTGTGCATGCAGGACGTATATCTCAACTAATTACGATACATCTACCAATATTACAAGTATCAATAAGTTCATACTTCGAATATGCACTCCTACTTGGTGTATATGCTTTGCTTACAAAATACACATCTAATAAATTTGAGTTGCTCTCATTCTTATCATAAAAACGTGGTGGATAAGGCATTTGAAGCAAGTAATCATTGTATAGAGTTTTCATTCACAAGTAACTTTAAGGTCAAAAACTTAATGAGCCTTCAAATGAGTAACCGGACAAACAATCATATCAAACAGAACTTTGTATCTTACTATCCTAGACCATTAAAACTTTAAAATATTTGGCTTTTAGTTCCAGTTAGTAGAATTACAATGACAAGTGATCTAGTACACAGAAGGTGCAGTCGATTTAAGTTGAGAATCACTTGTAAAAGTTGAAGATTACACTGATATATATTAATGTAGTCTAAATCTAAGTAAGTTCTATGTGTGAGAGAGAGAGAGAAAATTGAAGGAAGTGCGAATGTATGGATTGATGTATTATGATCATTACTCATTATACACTAATCCATTCTACAGTGCAAAAGCTTTTCATTGATATATCATATATGTATGGATTTCAGAATTAACAGTTCAATTTTTTGTAGTTAAGAAACAAGAATATTAAGGAACAAAAAATGTTACGACTTCAAACAATACGACCAGGGCTGGTTCGCTAGAAAAACAACTACCCTTTTATGAAGCTAGATAAAATAACTTAGATCAACAAACAGGGCAGAAAAAAAAGAATATCTAGAAAACTATTCAGATTCAAAAGCTAAGTAGAAAAAGATGTCTTGGCTGTATTGCGATTTCTGAGCTAAGTTGTTTGGTCGTGGAGATTTTATCGTCTTTCAAGACAGCGACATCATCAGCACTAACTTCGATATGAAGTGAGCTGTCAATATCTCTCCACGAGTGATTCAATAGCTTACCTTGACGAACTGGTTTGTGATTGGCTGTTTCCCTTTATTGTTGTCATTGCATAAATTTTTTTGTTGGCTGTTCATTTGCTTGACTTCTGACCTTTCCGTTGTTTATCATTTCTTCTTATTGGTTGATAGATTGAGTCTACATTTATACATCTATTGATTGCTGCCTGACCTGAATGTCAAGCTTCTAAGAATTCCCTGTTATTTTTTATTTCCTCTGTCCAAGATTTATACATTCTCAAAATTGAATTCATCTGCATAGTTATCCATATACATTGAAATGAGTGATGAAATGTCATGAGGTGTAATAGCCGATTGGTGTACATGTAAACGAAAGCGACCACTTTGTTCAATGCAGTGTTGATGACAATTATTGAAGTTGATTCGGTAAATAATAGTTGGTTTTGTCAGGGAAAGCTACCATATCACTGACGTAGGGATATTGACAGTGCACTTCATATTGAAGTTAGTACTGATGGTGTCGTCTAGAAAGACGACGAAAACTCCATAATTGAATAACATAGCTCAGAGAACACAATACAACCAAGAACATCCATCTGAGCTACAAATATTCTTCATCATTTCAAAAAAAATATGTCACTTTAGATACTCGTGAAATCAGTAGGTATACAAAAAGATATTGGAGTATCTCAATTGGATATAATAGTTTATGACGAAGAGGAGGTTGAATATAGCTGTTTTTAGTGTAAGATGTTGGGCAAGATCATGCCACTCATACTGAGGAACTAAGAGGTAATGAACAAACCAATTAGATGAAATATGATGAAGGCAATATAGTGATAATGAGAACTTATATGACAAATTTACATAGGCCAAATGGATATTATTCGCTGAGAAAAGAGAAAATATAAAGAATAAAGACTTTATTTATGCACCAACCCAAACCGGTAATGTGATCAACAATCTTACCCTTGAACAATAGGTGCTATGCATATATTTGTGAATAGCTGTGAATCTTCTGACAATGGTGCTCCACCACAAACGATATATCGAATTCGACCACCCATAAGTGATCTAACCTTACGGAAAATCAATCGATCCACAAGGAAACTAGGAAAACCACCGTGGATTCGTCGACATTTATAGGCATATGCAAATTTGAAGAGCTAAATAAAAATAAAACATAACCAATAAGATTGATGGCATGAAATTACTACAATGAATAAAGAATCAAAACAAAACTCATTCTTGTGAAGAGATTATGTTAAGGCTATAATGGAAATATTCTTCTTCGTAGGTTTATTCGATAATAATGTTCAATTCATTATTGATACTGGGTGGTGATTGAAAGTGAAACAAAAAACCCAAGTCGTGAGTAGGATTTAAACCAGTGGTCATGTGACTACATGATACGTCACTGTCTGTTTGTCGTCAACACACTGGATGCTCAATCATGTCTTTTTATCTCTGTCCAAATTGAGCTGAGTTGGAGATGGGAAGCATCATTTCCATTAATAATAAGACTAACTACAGATAGCCGTATTTTGATAGACTGATGTTAATGATACCTTGTCTCACAGCTCAGCCGATAGAGTGATGGGTCAGCAACCCAGAAGCTGCTACTTCGAATCCTGTCATGACCTGGGTTTTTTCATTTCACCTTTAATCATCACTCAGGATTAATAACATACGCCTGTTAAACCACAGCTATCTCGGATGGTCCCATTATGAATTTCATCCTAGTTACGCTATTGTTACAAAAAAATAAACTGTTTTTACAAGTAGTACAATTCTGTAAAATTGTCATATCGTAAAGTTAGAGATGAAAGAGTAGCATAATTATAGGCAAACTATGTCAAAACCCAAATGGAAGGGAAAAAAAACCCTTAAGAAATCCTTTATCATGACCAATATACAAAGATACAGACGAATATAAATTTCAAAAATGGACTTCATTACTAGCAAATTCTTTCTCTTGGAAACATATAGTAAAATGTGCTCATGGAATTGAATATGATAGAAAACAATTAACATTCACCACACTTTTTAGTTCGACGCTTTTCTTATTTGGTAAGCGATTAAAATGATGCTCATTGATTTTAACATTCATTCCACTGCCAAGTAATGAATTCCGGGTTCAAATCACACTTCGCCTACTTCATATAAACACGTGTATCACACAGTTGAGTTGGATTATTGCTTATTTTAAGGGATTGTAGTATACCATTAATCCGTTGAAATCCTTGAAAGTAAACACTTTTATCAGATTGAAAACTCTATCATATGACTGAATAGTTAAAATTTCACATAGTTTACAAGAACACTACTTCAAGTTTTGTTTTTCTGAATATTGTACATCATTTCAGATATACAGCAACAGTTTTGAAAATTAGAACATAGCTTAATTCAAATAAGAATCTATACGGTAACTTCTAAAAGTAATAAGTAACCAATATTCTTTGAAATTATGCAAACCGATGGAAACCCGGTGGAATCTAAGATATGAGTTATAATGCTAAAAACCTGCTGTTTAGGAGTAATTTACTCCACTGATATCCTAGGGTAGACTATTGTTTTTTGATATCATCTTCACTTTCATTTGAGTAGACATGTCACTTTTTCCCAGGGTATCTTAGAATATATATATATATATATATATATATATATATATATGAAATATAATTCTTAAAACTTATCTCGTATTCCCTATCTTTAGAAAGTACTGTACAAAAAGGTCTTAGTAATCAAGATTATAAAAATCTACTATATTACAACGTACCCAGCGAAGGAATTCAAAGGAAAGTTGTCACTACACAGTTAGATACGCATCCTGATGTAAATAAAGTTAAATTGCAGCTAACACTTCCTGTTACAGGATTACCAAAATTAGTACATGATTTTATGTCAATCAATTACAACAAAATACAAAACTAAAACAGACATAAAATGAGCTACTTTGAGCTAGTTACTAGTACCATATGAAATACAAGGTCATATGAATGAATTTCAGTTTGATAACAATTTATCGCGTGACATCTGATAACATATACAAGTAGTGATGACAATTACTAGGTCATTGTATGCAGATAATGTGTAAACATGAGTGAAGGCAATGTAGTGAAGGTGAATGCACAGGTACATACAAAAAAAATGTGCATACCATCTATAACACATATTATTGTTGTGATTGAACATCACTAATCCGTTTAAATTTACTAAAGGTAAACATGTTTTTGCACCAGTAAACGACCAATAATTAGTGGCAAATAGATGATAAGCTAACCTCGCCTGGTTAACTAGTACACTAGTTACTAGCCGGTCCTAAGCCCCGACAAACACAGAAGGTTGGGCATAGGGCTAGCAACTCTACCCCAGAAAACAAATCCATATCCACAATCCAATTCTGATATGACTAAGTCATAAATTGGAGTACATAATACATACTAAATATTTAACAGATAAGTTTCCTTTTTATTTCATAAAATCATATCCTGCATCCTTTCTCATTTTAATGTAAACAGTTGTTAAAGACTATGTTTTTCATATTGAAGAGAAGCGTTTAGCGAACTTTAGAACCGTTAATAAGCCAACCGCTTTCGTGCTGACCTTGAAGTTAACGAAGTGGTAAAGTCGAGTGATCTCATAACTGTGCTAAAATGACAATAAAATCCACAATGGTATCATACGACTTAGATGTACCACTTAAGAGACGTAGCAGATACAATCAACAAGTGAATAAGATAACTAAGAATTAGTTAAAAAATTAAGAAATTGGTGGTGCATGAATTATGTATGAGTTATTCAATGAATGACTAACTATGAAAGGTTTGTTCAAAGACAATTGTATGCATTAATATCACTTTAGACTATAAGACTGATTGATATCATCTTGATGTATTTCAGTATTTTCGCAACGTATATGAACGTGACATTGTAGTGAGAGTGAATCAAGTGGCATAACCTTATAAGAAAATACATATTAGCGCAGCAAACTTTGAGTCACAACTTTGGTGTAATGGATAAATGAACCTACCTATATATCCTAGCCATTAATTATGGGAACTAATATAGGTTTGAAATCCATTATCCAGTTAGAATCAACCTTTCATAATGTTACCTTCTAATTTTCATATTTTTCTGTAAATAAGTTAGTTACGTTTAATTTCTCCTACCTCTGTAATCTTTATTAACTATTCAAATTCACGAAATTCACCATTTCCTTTAGCATCACCCAGCTAATGTAGTGAGTCTGTGGAAATCACTCTGAGTTCTTAGGTGTTGTTCGGGGTCTTACAGAAAGCGAATTTTTCGACTGGATCCCAACTGGTAGCCAGTTGTACGCTGTTTGACTGGATGGTACGGTAAAAATTGAAACGAGCAATGTAATATGTCGTTGTTTCCTTGTAGTTTTTTCTTAAGCACTAACGGATTACAGTCAGAATGAAGGGAAAGATGAGTTTTATTGAAAACTAGCCTCATATTAAGAGCCAAATGTTCAGATATGGGCTTTGTAGTAGGTAGCTCCAATGTACAAAGAAGGCTAAACCTAACAGAAATGCACTTAGATGACACTTTTCGAATCCCAGACAAACGAACGGATAACGACAATCGTCTGCTACAACTGTGCTCAAACGGTCACCTATTTAACGTTAGCATAAACTTCAGACATAAGCAGAGACATTACCGACCTCAAATCAATAACAGACACAGACAGAGCATATTGCTACCACTTGAGGACCCGAGGGAAATCACCAGTCCTTCTAAAGCACATTTTCCAACAGTGATCACGTATTGGTTTGGGTATGCGTATATATAACTATCTCGAATGGTACATCCTCCTACTGGCTAAATGAACCACCACCACTAAACACCGAATGTTTCACATTATTTTTTCAATGCTGTTATTATAAACATCATTCAGATGCAATCACCATTTTGTTTGAAAATATTGTTTTAGGAGTGAATCTGTTGAAATATTACATGCTGTAGACTCCATACTGTAACGAACATATCGTTTAGAGTATAACCTACTATTATTATTACTGAGATGATAGAAAACTTTGTTCTCGATAACCAAGAAGTAATAGACCCAAGTCCAAGGCTTTTAACTCATAACCTTTCTCATCTGTTTACTCAAAGAACCTTAAAAAGCCCTACTAGTATAGGAAGTTAACTACTATTTGTCATATGTATCAAATGGACGTCCATACCGAATGCAACAACAGAGAAAAGCTTACGACTACCATATTTGCAAAAAAAAAACTACTTTTGATAAATATATTAATACATAGATTAGGCTTTTCAATATTACCATAACTACTGTTAATATGTGAACTAATGCAGTCAGAAGATAAAAAATTTCCCTCACGAAATGAAACAATAAAAAAGCTTACTGCTTGTAGAAATTCGCCTCCAGCATTAACTTTTTCCCAAACAGCTTTAGAAATACGTTCCAATACAGTAGGTACACTGGCAAAAAGAGTAGGTTGAAGAAGACTAACATCACCTAAACAGTAATCTCGTTTGATACGGGATGATGTATCGGTTAGCGTTTGTGGGTTTGAGTAACCAATCTATAAATTGAATAAATCACACAATAATGCTAACTGATAGATATAGGTATATACAGATATGTATATTAAACTGTGAGCTACGCCTAGTGTTTAAGGTAAGCAGGTACTAACTAGTTGATCAGTAAATGGAGACAAAGACAAGGATGTCGTATCAGCAAAATAATTCCGTAATAAAGCGAGACAGAGAAAAAGGGGTGAATAAGGAAATTGCACTATCAAACTACGATGTGCTCTGGAGTGGGTTTACTAGTACTTTGCATATGTTTACGGATAAAATGATCACATTCCAAAAAATATAACTTTACTTTTAGCAACCTAAAAGCTACACTTCATCTAGTTCTTTCCTTGAGGAAATTAGACATTATTAATGAGATTAACTGAAGCATGTCAATCACTATTGACAGTAATGTTAATATATTTTTAGCAGCAGGCAACTACACTTTCGCCTCGAAGAGTATATTTTAAGATGGGTTAAGCAATTCCATCGTAAAAACGGAATTTCTTATGATTAATTGCCCACCAGAGCGAAGAAGAATAAATATGATAAATATCGATTGAAAAATGGGTGAAAGAACAACTCCATTGTGTAATCATGGACGAAATTATGAAATGAGTCTGTAAACGACTAACTGTGCTGCTTAGAAAAGATCCACTGGTTGATGCATACAGAAATGATTTCAATTTCCCCAGAACTAATGCATGATTCGCTAAAGTAATTAACTTTTGTAGGCCAGGATATACTAATCGTTGATAAAGTCAGAGGTTACATCTAACTTTCTTATTAGAAGAATAAGAAACTATTAATCACCCTTCAAACACTAAGAGGATTACTTCCGAAACCAGTAAAGTGACCGAATCGATTCCTAGAAATAGAGATAAGTACTCCTGTATAACTGGTAGCTAGGGAAAAGCGATGATATTTCTCAAACTTTGGTGATCAGAACAACGTTAGCAATTTACAGATGCGCAGAAATTAAATGTTTTTCTGAAAATAGAAAAAAAAACTTACGCGCACACCCATTATAACGCAGCATAATTCACAGGTAAGCTCCAGGACATGGGCTAGTGGCAGGTAACCAATATATATGTCGTAGTTACTACGGAGTTTCGGTAAACGCTGTAGATGACCAGCTATTGCGCTGACTAGGTTTTCGTGAGTCATTTCAACACCTTTAGGTTGACCTATGTAATAAATAAAAAACGACTTGGTATCAGTAGTGGTTCAGGTAGTTTCATTCAAAAAACGTCCAGATGAACAGATTTTAAAAGTGGGGTTGTTTCATAGCAAAATATTAATAATATCCAGCCGACGAGTCCCAAATAGTACAAAACGCTCATCCTGGATTCCACTGCGAGTCACCAGGGTAAAATACAATAATATCGAGGAAATGTAACTGAAATATTAGGTGTGATACTTAAGGAAGGTGAGAAAAACTGCCAGGATGGTCACAAGGACATCAGGCTAACTCATATCGACTTCAGGAAATTACCTAAGTGCTTTTTCACACTATTACTGATATTGGGTTCAACAACTAGATATTACTTAACTGATTCTTGTTTTAATTGGCAATATCCATTCACTCTCATTGACAATCAGTAAAAGTGTTGGATCAATTATCGCTCATTAGGTTATGGGTCCCAGGAGATTGCGAATGGATAGGAACATAGCATATTCTCATAGTTGCTCCACAAATATACTTCAAATAGTGTTTTCTTAAAGGGTTAGGAGAATGGTTTGTGCGCATGCATACCTAAAATGTAATAAACCTTTGCATTTCTAACTGAACTTTAATATCCTGCAGTAAACTGATTGGTACAGTTTTCAAGTGAGATTCATAGAGTACCGTTGAAAACACACGAGTTATTAGAGTAATCAAGATGCTTTAATTCACATATTTTTGAGGTGACAGCAGTTTCTGGGGAATCTAAAGAACAGAGTTTGGTTCATACAATGTACAGCTTCAAATCAACTGTCTTAGCATACACTTCCCAATGATCCTCAGGTTGACAGTTAGAAATTACAAAGACTGGTTTCAAACCTTGATTTGATACCGTATGCTAGGTTCAGGATTATTGTTCATGTGTAGTAGAAGGATTACATGAGTGTACTGAAACCATAAAGTTAGAAGAACGTATGAACGACAAAGTTTATGAAATAGTAAGTCTTCATTGAATGCGGTAACCTGTAAACGTGGTACTCATGTAGATTCCTAGCTCATTTCGAAACGTTTGGAACAGGATTATATGGAAAGAATCCACTAGTTGGTCTCCTGTGAAATCATTACTACTTGAGATGAAGTATTTTCCTCACGTAGTTCAGAGATAATAATATAATTGTCCAAGTATATTCAAATATATTTATATAAAATATATAATTTTGCACTAACCAAAGGAAACCGTTCAAGACCTGTTACACACTTAAAATCATAACACCAGTTAAAATGGACACCTTTAGTCGACCATCATCAAACAATGAAAAACAACCAAAGTCCGTAGGGAACTAATAGGAACACAAAACTGTCAAAAGAAGGTCAAGTTGGTTTGAACAATTCAATTCTGCAATCTGATTACCATATAGAGATCATTCCGACATCCGTGGATGACTTGTAACCATCTTTGTTAATTAGTAGTAAGTTTGGTATAAAAACACTTTGGTTAGCATAGAAATCTGAGTCACACAATAAATGAAAAGAAATTTATGACTGATTTTGGCTCGGCATGACTTGGAGATTTTAACCGTAGACACCACTAGTGACCCATACATACTAATTTATAAATGGATTTTCGAAAAACAAAAATACGAACAAGTGAAGCATTGAAATCATGACGACCACACCCACGGAAAATGGCCTTAAGTATTTCTACCTTTTTTATTTTCTGTTTAGCGAGCAGTGTCTAGTAAACTGCTAATCTAACAACTGAAATATTTACAAATTCAAGTTGAGAGGTATGCTTCAACCTAATGACCTGAAATCTGTGATATGAAAGAAAGATTAAAGGCAGCTAATCAGACATTAGTCGTAGGTATTTCGAAGGAATTATTCACTTGTAAATATGTTACTGGTAAGCCTAATCTGAAAGCAAACAATGATCATGTGACATGATTACAACACATATATAAAAGCAAAAGTGAGTTTGCGTTGGTGTTGGGAACAGATAGGTGGGAAGCCCTGAATGTCACACATGCTGAAACCCACAAGCTAGACACACCTACAACCTTGCAAAGACATATGCTTCTTCGAATCCGCATCCATATCAATCATTACTGCTAAGCTATTCGTGGAGTTGTCAGGGTTAGTGATATCACATGTTTGCTAATACCTCAGTAAATGGGGCATGAAGCTATGATTTATTGGACTAGGTACCCCACTTTCAATGATAAGGTCAATGGTACGAACGCTGTTCCATTTATTAAGGTTTGGACAAATATTTTGCATCACAGTGTTGAAGTCGTCTGCGGCTCACCAAGTAGTATACGTATCTGTGCATTATCGATTTACACTACTAGTGTTATTAGGTGATTATTTTCTTAGGATATATATCTAGTACAAGATGAGCACAGATATATTAACTACACAAAATAGTATAGGACTATGAAAACACGAGGAAAGAAGAAAGAGAGCGAATAACAGGATGTTCAGGAAAGCAATACCGAGGGACACGGTCGAAAGCCTGCTTTTATTTTGAAAAAGGAAGGATGATAGAGACCTACAATATGATCGCATTATTTTCGGTAATGTGACAATTGGAGGACATTTAAATGTATTGAGCTGTAAGACTTTTAGAACCTCATCTACGGACATACCAATAAGTGTTAACCTACTGTCCCAATTAAGACTCGAACATAGAAACAACACCGCTCACTGGGAGGCGATTACATCCAGCTGATGAATCCCGAATAGGAAGAAATGAGCGTAACGGATTTCATGGCTAGCCACTACTATCATTAATACAAAATCGAAACACAGGCAGTATTCAGGCCATTCGCGCAGCAGCCCATGTGCCAACAGAAATCGATCAATTCGATTCAATCGCCGGCGGGATAATACAAGTAACAATATGGTAAATAGCGTTACAGTAAGTTTTGTGAACGCAAAAAGAGGGTTAGAGGAGGGACAAATTGGGAAATGAAAACTAACTTTAAATGTCCTGTTTATTCCTCTTTCTACTCAATAACATGAACAATTAAATGAATTTAAACTAGAAAATAAAAAGTGTAGACGAAGTTCAAACTGAACTTTGTTTAGTCAACGTACATACTTGAGGAATCAATGTGGCTCAAGTTCACCACGCACAATATGTACACATTTCAAAAAATATTTCCGGTTGAGTTTCATAATAGAAATTAAGTACAACTTGGTAGGGAAAAGAAAGTATCATAAGTTTATTTGGAACCTTGTATGAGAAATAAACTCACATATCCACCACACTTACAGGAAGCTGAATCATTCAACAAAACATTTTATATACAGTTGAGCAATCTAGACTTTTAAACAAACAAACAAGCATAAAGTGTTGTTGCTTGTATTATCCCATAGTTGACTGGACCGAATTGATTGGTGTCTATTGGCATATGGGCTCCTGCGCGGATGCCTCGATATTGCCTGTGTTTTAATTATATATTAACGATGAATAATGGTTAGGAGTGGAATCCAGAACGCGCGTTTCGTCCTATTTAGGACTTGTCATCTGAATATACCTGCCTCTCAGTAAGTGATGTTGTTCCTACCTGGACTCGGGCTCGGGACCGATCGCTCCAAACGCCATCATTAATGTATCGTTAAAACACAGGCAATACCGGGGCATCTATGGAGGAGCCCATATCCCAATAGAGATCGATCAATCCGGTCCAATCAACGGTGGAATAATACAAGGAACAACACTAAAACTATACCCGTCGCAGAAAACATGACTATTGTGGGTCGGTGGTTTAGCGGATAACGCTCTGGGGTTTGAATCGATCTGTCCCGAGTTCGAGTCCCGGTGGGAACAACACTCACTGGAAGGCAGTTACATTCACACTAGTCCCAAATAGGACGAAGTGTGCGTCCTGGATTCCAATGCTAGCCACTATTCATCATTATTCAACAAACATAAAGCCAAAAAATTCGAAAAAGGGAAACGAATAATAGATAGTTGGTTACTTAATTTCTGAAGTAACTTCAACCGAAAAAGCAACTGTACCACGAAGGTAAAGATCAAACATAATAGAACCCTGATAATTACCAACCTGATGACTTAAACCACACTACGCTTACCTTTAGTGAGATCACCATTGTTATGGCGACTACCACCCATTACTTTCGATTCGGACACCATCGAAAACGGTGATTAGTGGTCAGCCACGTACATCACATTCAATAATGACACATAGGTTTCCTTGTCTGAAATTCAGCATACAATCTCAATATTATTTCCTGGGAAGTTCGTCATAGGTGAGAAATGATGTGAGTATACTAGGGTTCAAACACATGTAGCAGTCCTGTCATTAAACATCGGTAAATAAACCTCATGAGTTGGAACATAGCACTCTGGCATGATAAATATGACTTTAGACACTAAATTTTCAAGTAGTAAGTCCTGATGTTCGAGCCCAGCATTCACCTACTTAAACCAGTGCAACCAGGTATCAGGATCATAAGCCATCACACAGGTGTGGCTTATGACTTAACACATAAACGCCTGTGTCAGATCGAACTGAATTACATATAATCTTGAATTGCACTATTTTGGAGTAATATTACCAAAGTCGTGTCACTTCAAGATTAAGTAACGTTATGAACTTTGCAGTGTAATACAGGCCACAGGGGAGGTGGGGGTGAAAATACGATCACTAGAATACAACTAGATAACTAATTCCAGGAGCACAATTTCAGTTGTTCCTTAAATTATTTGTAAAAAAAATAAGATATAGTAAACACAGAAAGCACTTTAAAGTGAAAGAAGAGTAACGTTAAAGTATAACATGGCTTGAAGTGAATAACTTATCCGTGTAATTATATGTCGAGTGAATATGAAATGCTGTTTAGCTGGAAATACAAGCTACTTTAGAACCTGTTTACACGTGATGGAAACAGAACGGACGCTAAAGGTTTTCTTAACATGCTCCAAAATACCGACACGGCAGTATACAAACCCATTAATATAACAGGTGAATAGGATGGTAAGGGATAAATGAACTGTTAAGAACGGAATGAGGGCCTGAAGAATGGAAATGCAAGTAATACAGCTATGTATTCACACAAGATACCTGTTGATCCGCTGGTGTACATAATTACAGCCAAATCTGATGGTTTGACACGCTCTGATATAGGCGGTAACCATAAGCCTTCGTAGCCATTAGAAGAATGGTTGTTATCTCCTGCAGTTGGTGCGACGTCATTTGTCTTCTGTTTCTCTTTTTCTTTCATTATCACTGCAGCTCCCAGACGTTCTACTTCAATAATATCGTGTAAGTGTAAGTTCGGCGGGCATTTTGTCAGAGCTTCAGCAATACTAGCAGTAGCGCTCCCCGTTGGTACAGCCAAATTGTCAACTTCGGTATAGAGTTCTCGATTGAAAATTCCATTCGTAAAATAAACGATGCGTTGAATTGAAGGACATCTTTGGACAATTTTAATTACTTTAGATAGGAGCTCATCACTTGTTAACACGACTACTGCCTGTTATGAAAATCAGATTCAAATCAAGTACAGTTTGAGAGAATTAGTTCAAACAACTTTTACTGAATATACAGCTGACATCTACTTGAGCAAAATGTGTTAAATACAAAAATGCTTTTACCCAATCAATTGTTTCTTGACGTTATCCACAGCAAAAATCAAAATCTACGTTACAGCGGAGAAAGTACGAATTATGATTCCTGAAACTAATTATACTAACAGCTTGCTTTGAATTAAAATAATTCTGCCTAATATATTAAATGAGAAATAAGTTCGACATTGAATCAAATAATTTAGAAGCAAAGCAGATTCTTTGAACCATAATTATCGCATCTTGAATCAATTCCCATAGCTGCTACCTTGACGTGGTGGTCGGGCTTGCATATCACAATGACCCGACGAGCTATGCTGGTGGAACACTTGTTCCCTCGAGGTCCTACTATATCAGAAAGGTCTGTTGGATAGTGGTAAGACGAAAAGTAGTTACCGTTGTGGTGTAAATTACTACACTATAATAAAGGGGCTGAGGGAGAAACCGTACTGCTGCTAGCTGGATGGGGTGTGACAGCAGTAAGGTGTTTCCCTTGGATGACCAGCAGTGCCATGTTGATGCTACCTACTCAGTGGAAGGGAGGTTGGAAAAGATCGGCCCCAAAAATAACTCACTCCACCATGCCACACGGTCTGCCGGGCCAGTGGTATTGGTTCATTTGTTGTTTCCTTTCGACCATCCAGGCCCAAAAATACAAAAGTTCAAAATAATCATACACAAAAGGCTGCTTGCGACAGGCCTCAAGCAGATGTTTGATGGGCTTTGCGGTCACACAAATCTCCTTCAGGTACCTTAAAAAGAAATCCGCAAAATTCACCCTTCGAGTTTCTGGAGATTCGATAGCTAACCCTCGCGGTCTCGCAGGTATAAGCATAACATTAAGCACTAGGGCAGAAAACTCACTACTAGACTGGATCCCAGTTGATAGTCACCTCTGCACTATCCAACTGAACGGCACAGTGAGAACTCAAAAGAATGGTGAAACTCGCCGTTGTCTCTCTGTAATCTCTGCTTACGCACCCACTGACTGCAGTTCAGATGAAGTGAAGGACAAGTTCTATCGTAAACTGTCTAGATTCCTCTCGAAAGCCATACGTTCAGACGTAGTGGTTCTTGTAGGTGGCTTTGATGCACTGGTGGGTAGACTGAGTGAGGCAGAAAAGCACTTAGGTGGCACTTTCGGAGTCCCTGCTGAACGAACAGATAACGGTGACCGCCTACTACAACTGTTCTTAGATAACCGCCTATTTTTAGCTAGCATAAATTTCAGGCATAAAAAAAGACACCGTCTGACGTGGCGTTCACCGAGCTCAACTCAGCGATGGACACAGATAGACCACATTGTTATTAGTCATCGCTGGAGAGGATCGGTGGGAGACTGCCGCTCCTTCTGGAGTACGTGTTCGGAAAGCGACCACGCGCTGGTTCGAGCGCGTATATGCCTGCGCCTCGATGACAACAAAGCCACTACGAGTGCTGGTCAGAAGTTGGCTAGGCAGTTATCGGAACAAAAGACTATCACTCATCCAGAATATATACATAAATATGAATAAAATATAACAAATTTCTTGGATCTATTACAGAAGTGATAAAGTGTACCTATAAAAACATGTGAAAAGAAAGTCAACTATGCTGTAGTTTCTTAGGTTTTGTTATCATCAGGCCTGAACCTAACAAACAGAATATTATGAAAATATTTAACTGCAAAGATATATATATATATATATATATATATATATATATATATATATAATGTTGTACTGCAGTGTTCTCGCTCTTTTGAATAAAGTCTGCATGTACAAAACTTAAATTTTCAAGTCTGATGGAACTCATCAATCTTTACCTGACAACATACTTCCAATTTAATGGCAAGATATATAAACAGATGAAAAGAACTCGAATGCGATCACCGATATCCGGACTAATTGCAGAAGCAGTGATGCAGAGACTGGAAGCCATCAAAAATCTGAATTCACCATGTGCACGATAATTTTGTCATCATTAAAAAAGATGAGATAGAAAACATTCACAGTTTGACCAACAACGTTCTTAATAACATCAAATTCACAATCGAAAAAGAGTCGAACAACCAACTACCATTCCTGGATGTTTTAGTCAGCAGGAAAAATGCCGGGAAGCTGGAAACCCAAGTGTGCAGGAAGCCAACACACACTGACCAAATCCTCAACTACAATAGAAATAATCCAACGACACACAAAATCAGATGCGTGCAGACTCTATTCAAAGGAGCGAGAACAAACTGCAACACAACAACTTCACCGAGAAACGAAGAAAATCACTTGGTGTCCATCCTAAAGAAGAACGGCTACCCACGAAACTATTAGAAAATGCCTATCCCGGGCATATTCAACTATAAAGTCATCGACAGGAATCAACAAACGCATCGTCCTACCATACATAAAGAATATATCAGAAATCACGACAAGATTGCTGTGGCTCATAAACCAACAAATTCCCTCCAAACACTATTATGCAGACCAAAGGATGCAACAGGCAAAGAAGACAAACCGAATATCATTTACGAAATCAACTGCAATAACTGTAGTCAACACTACATTGGATAAAGTGGTAGTCCTCTTCGCCTTCGTCTACATGAGCACCAGTTGGCTAATAAACACCACGACATCTCGTCACTTCAACGTGTGTGGATAATTATGGACATGAATTCAATTTCGATATTATGGACATTTCGGACGGAGAGAGGAAACACAAAGAATATCAGAGAAGCTTGGCATTCAGAAAAGTCAGTCAGCAATCAACAGATGTAGACATAGATCCAATCTACCAACCAATAAGAAAAATGATAAGCGACAGAAAGGTCAGAGGTCAAGCAGAGGAACAGCCAAAAGGAAAGTCTATACAAAAAATGACAACAATCGAAGGGAACAACCAATCACAGACCACATCGTCAGAGCAAGCCACTAAATCACTCACCGAAAAGATATTGACAGCCTACTTCATACTGAAGTTAGTGCTGATGATGTCGTCCAGAAAGACGATGAAAGCTTCACGATTAAACAACCCAGTTCAGAGAACACAACACAACCAAGACCATTCACCTGAGCTACAAATATTCTCCATTATTCTTATGGAGGTCTCCCTCTCGTCAACTGATTACATATACGTTGAACTAATCGTGGGAAGATTTTCGTTAGACCTAGAGTATGCAAATGATGTAGTCCTGTTAAGTTAAGACGCTGACAACATGCCGAGTCTTCTGAACACTTTGAGTGTTTGGGATGCGTTTCTCACTACCTAAATGCAAATTATTGCTCCAGGACTGGTCTTCAACGGTGCCTCACCGCGGCTAACAATAGAGAGTGTAATGGTTGAGTGTGTCGACTACCTCATTAACCTGGGAAGTAGGATCAGCCCTCCCTGGTGGCTCATCATCATCATTACCAACATAGGACCAGGCATTACTGCGTAACGGTCCGAGTTGCCACACCTCACGTCAGTTCATCAAGTAAAAAGGTAGTGAGGTGAAGGATGAAGATAAGTGAATGCAGTCAAAAGAAATATAAAGTACGAGAAGAAAGGAAAGAGGAGTGACAAAATGGTGAGATTCGGTATAGCCTTGTTAAGATGAGGATAATGTGTGTACATCTGTGCCACTGACATCCGTTCTGAGCCATATCACCTAGTCTCCAACCACTGGTTCCTCTTGTCCCACGGACCCCAACCACCTAGTCTATATCGCCCCACATGGCCAAACCAACAGTCAGAGACTTTATACATTGGTGCCATGTTTTAGTCTGGCCACCTCGGGCCTTTTTCCAGCCTGGACCCACCTCAGCCAACATTGTGTGACGAGGCAATCGGTGACTAGGCATACGTAGTACGTGTCCCAACCATCTCAGTCGATGAAGGTTCACAACCTCGTCAACTGACTTACCTCTTCTCCCTAAAACTCTACACCTGACTTCTGCATTACTCACATGGTGACACCACGGAATACGTCCTATACTACGAAGGCAACGGTGGTCAAACACCTGAAGCCTTTTCATGTCTTCCACTTTCAATGGCCATGTTTCACAGCCATACAGTAGAACAGAGCGGACTGCTGTGCAGTACACGTGACCCTTAATAGACAAACGAATATCACGGCGGCGCCATAGGTGGCGCAAATTGGCAAAAGCCAATCGAGCCTTTTGTATCCGTGCAGAAATCTCATCGGCAACTAACCCACAGGGTTGATCCTACTTCCCAGGTAAGTGAAGTGGTCAACACACTCAACCACTTCACTCTCTATTGTTAGCCACGGTGGGGCACCGCTGAAGACCAGTCCTGGAGCAAAAATTTGCATTTGGGTGGTGAAAATCGCATCCCAAACATTCTCAAATTCCCACTCAAAGTGTTCAGAAGACTCTGCATCTTGTCAGCGTCTTCACCTAACAGGACTATGTCATCTGCATATTCTAGATCTAAGGAAAATTCACCTGTGATTGGGTCAACGTTTGTGTAATTAGGTGATTAGAGGGAAACCTCCATAAGAATATCTATGATAAAATTAAATAAGAATGGAGATAGTGGGCATTCTTGACGGACACCACTTGATGAGTATAGCTCCCTGGACAACTCGTCATAGGCTCTAACATGCCCACAAGTGTTCGAGTAGAGAGCTTTCAATAAGGTGATGTACTTACTAGGCACGCCTTTCAGTGAGAGACATTGCCATAAGACTTCTCGATCAACGGAGTCAAATGCCGCCTTCAGGTCGAGAAATACAGCTATTGTCGGGCGTCTGTAAGCATGCGGGCAGCGGGCAGCGCAATCGTGGCTGGAGGCCAGCTAAACTGTTCCTCGAAGTGTTCTGCCAATAGCTCCAGTCGTCTCCCCTGCGAGTGAATCGCAGATCCGTCCTTCTCCGCTATAGCCACACTTTTCCCCCCAGTCTCCTTAATAAGTCTAAATAACTGTCTACTGTTACCGATCGCCGCTGCCTTTTCCATCTCTTTAGCCTTCGCTGCCCACCACTGTTCACGATCGTTGCGCAGACTTTTCATCAGTCTATTTTTAAGTTGCGCTCGCTCTTCATTGTACTCAGAGCCTGCAGGGATGCATTCACGTGCATCCATTAGTTCGGAAGAAGCTGCTGATATCCACTAGCTCTTTTTAGCCATTATTTTGGAGTCGGCTACAGTCTTCAGTGCTGCTTTTACAGCAGACTGAAGATGGCACCAAGCTTCTTCTGGATGAGTGACAGTATTTTGTTTCGATAACTGCCTAGCCAACTTCTCACTGAACACGGCTTTGGTGTTTCCGTTGTCAAACAGCACTCGTAGTGGTTTTGTGGCCAAATTTCTTGCACGTCCATTGAGACGCAGGCATATACGTGCTCGGACCAACGCATGATCGCTGTCCAAACACGTACTCCAGAAGGAGCGGCAGTCTTCCACCGATCCTCCACAGCGATGACTAATAGCAATGTGGTCTGGTGGCTCAGTGGCAGATGAAATTTCTGCACAAAATGTTCGGCTGGATTTTGCCACCTATGGCGCCGATGCGATATCTAATTATCTATTAAGAGTCACGTGTACTGCACAGCAGTCCGCTCTCTTCTACTGTATGGCTGTGAAACATGGTCATTGAAGGTGGAAGACATGAAAAGGCTTCAGGTGTTTGACCACCATTGCCTTCGTAGTATAGGACGTATTCCGTGGTGTCACCATGTGAGTAACACAGAAGTCAGGTGTAGAGTTTTAGGGAGTAGAGGTAAGTCAGTTGATGAGGTTATGGACCTTCATCGACTGAGATGGTTGGGACACGTACTACGTATGCCTAGTTACCGATTACCTTGTCACACAATGTTGGCTGAGGTGGGTCCAGGCTGGAAAAAGGCCCGAGGTGGCCAGACTGAAACATGGCATCAATGTTTAAAGTCTCTGACTGTTGGTTTGGCCATGTGGGGCGATATAGACTAGGTGGTTGGGGTCCGTGGGACAAGAGGGACTAGTGGTTGGAGACTAGATGATATGGCTCAGAACGGATGTCAGTGGCACAGATGTACACACATTATCCTCATCTTAACAACGCGATACTGAATCTTACAATTTCCTCATTCTTCCATTCTCTCTTTTCGTACTTTATATTTCTTTTCACTGAATTTTATCTTCATCCCCCACTTCATTGCCTTTTTACTTTTACTGATATGGTTGTGGCAACTCGGACCGTTACGCAGTAATGCCTGGCCCTATGTTGACATTGTTGTTGTTGTCTATGTAATCTTTTCCCTACTACTTGTTTTAAACACGGAGGATGAATGAGACAATAAAAGAGCACAGGAATTATTATGGGATATAGTTTGATTCGAGATTAGTGTAGAAGGACACTATGATCCTGGAGGTAGGAGAACTACTTCCTTCACGCCTAGAGGTTGTCTTCAATCGATAAGTGCGGCGTTGACAACCGAATTTGCTTATGGTCCTGACTCAATCAGGCTAAACTGACTGGGTTTTTTATTTCTTAGTTGAAACTGTGGCAAGAAGTTTAGATGACGTGCCACTAGACAAACGAAGCTGCATTCTGGCTCTGGGAAGGTAGGGAGCTAAGAAATTTGTCAACTACGTATTGACCTAGGGTGATAAGCATATTTACGGGACAAAAAACATTTTACAAACTAACTTTCCAGAGCGAAACCCCATGCTTAAAGGGATTCGAGCAGATAGATTTCCCTTGAACTCTGTAATCGGAATGACAGTGAGTAGTGATGGATGGTTAGAGTGAATGAGATGGAGAAGGGATCAATATTAGGTGATGTATAGCTCTTCCATAAATATTTTTCTAGGATGAGTCAATAAGTGTGGTTATTGAGATTATCGAGTAAGATATGTCTGTGATGAACTTCTAAACCAAGCGACCGGAAGGCTTGATAGAACTTTTCTGAGGATCGTTTAACTGATGCACAGCTACGCCCGAGTCACCCACCATTCAGTAGCAGCCAAAATATGAAAAATTGATATTAGCCCCCAACTGTTCCGGAAGTTATGTTGTTCGAAGTTTGAAGCTACAGGATGCAATGTTTACCTCTCGGTTGTAATTAAGGATAGTAGTCAGAAGCTACTAGTTGGATCAACTGGATTACTAGGTATGTATGGGAAATAATTCATCCTGTCAAACACGTCTCAATCACGTCAGCTCGCTTATCCGTTTTTCCAGACACGTGACCCATCTTCAGTAACATTCTGAAAAGTATCATGCATAAGTAACACTTGCTAATTAATGATAAATGTTATTTCACGGTAGACACTTAACGAGATCAAAGCCCATGAAGCTCCAGATCTGTGGTATTAATTAGACCAAGATTGATGTAAGGAGTGATGAGTTTATAAAATGACCCAAAGATGAAGCTAATGGAGCCATTACATAATCTTAGCTCTTGACTAACCTCTGTTTCATTGAATCCATGAACCAATGCGTCATCACCGAGAGTAGCGTACAAAGTAGCAACAGGTCGATTGAGACGGAAGCATGCCTGTGCAGCAAACATCCATTCAGCTCGTGTTTCACTGAATATTGCAATAGGTTGATTACTTTCTCTGACAGACCCTAACATTGAATATAAACCTGCTGCTAAGTGAGACACCCGACGTTCGGCGTCCCAAAAGGTTTCCCAAGAATATTGACCCAGAGTTAATTCAATCATTTGTCGTCCGTCTGGAGCAGTCTACAGTAAAACAACAAAAGAGAACATAATACTCAGAATTTAACGAAACAGGCGAAATGTATCAACCATATAAATGTTGGAACATTTAAGCATTGCAACTAAGTATACAGTCCCTGTATTTGAATTCAACCAATCATTCGTAGTTTGTGAATATGGGTTTCATGTGAGGAGTAGTGAACACTACATTGATAATACATTAGTAATCTAGTTGTATAACCACGTTTCTTGTTAACCAGATATAGTGTCACAACATTCAGTGGATGATCTTTCGTACAATTTAATGTAGTTATATTAAATCCCGTAAAAAAACAAGACCTGAGGAAAATCGTGTAGTAAGTACCACTGTACTACTGCATACCTTTTTGAGCAAAATAAACACAAAAATATAGCTGGAAATTTCCACCTTAGATTTTCCCCATGAAACCAGTAATTTTCTACCGCACAGAACTAATGCATGGTGCTACATCAAATGTGGCTAGTTAAAAGTTAATGCATGCATCGAAACTTATGAACTGTAAATCTAGGCAAGAAGTACAAAAGTGGTTTTCAACTGAAGATCAAAAAATATGCGTGAAAGCACATATAGAAGGCAAGGAACAGAGAGAACATGGAACCTATCTTTACTTGAGTTACTACAAATCAGCTGAATTCGCAGATGATGGGGCACAATGATTGTAGTTCTTTTTCTTACCGAAACTTTGTTATCCAAAAATACCTAGGATTCATTAAATTGCTAAGGATCGAGGTACTTAAGTAGTCATTGATAAGGGTTTTGAAGATGGTCAAATGATAGAGCAATTCATACATACTATGCAGTGATATCTGATAAGCTGTTTTGACTTGGTCCGAATAGTGATACCGTCTAGATTTCATCGGTTTGAGTGCTAACACAACACAAAATACAATAGACAAGTTGGTAATCCTGTCGTTTTTGAGCATGCATCAAGGGATTGACGGACATCGCACTACTTGTAAATTACATCAGGACACCTATTTCATATCGGCCCTGACAGGTTAGCAAAAAAAAACCTTTCAGATAGATGTATTTAGAAAGTCACTTATAAGAAGCCGAAGGGTACTAACGGCTAAATGTTCTAAGGGTCGTTACTGCTCGGTATTAAGGTCAGTCCTGACAGGAAAAAAGTAGGTTTTCCGAGAACGACTGGTAATATTAAGGCTTAAGGAGCAGTTATCAACACTTATAACAGCTTGCAAACCAAAAGGAAACAGGCTTTTAGTGCAAACCGACATCAGACGTAGAATCTGGAGGACATCTTTACCATGCGACAACCGTAACTTAGTGCTTGACATATATATGCTCCCAATAATGACAGAAAACCCACAGACCGCATTTTGATAGCAACTAGAATCTACGGAAAGCACCAATCTAGGAGTCTTAAACAATCAAACTATTCAAATTTCGTAATAACTTCGGTGTGCTGTATCGGTGTTGCACTACAGCTATATACAAAGACACTTCACGCTGACGGATTGTGGATTTACTCATTATTTCCTCTAAACCACAAAAAAATGTTACTCTCATCACTAAAGATATCTTTTGACTGAAGTTAGGGCTGCGAACAGTTTGGTAGATGAATCAAGAGCCCGATAACTACATGAGTTATGTTATTCAGTATCATGCTGTTAACAATAAATCCTAGGAGCACTAAAAATCAAACTCACTTTATAATCCGTACGCAAGACAGCTCTCGTACCAAACGCTGGTAGATCAGGCCACAGTTTGACGGTTCGGAGCCATATATCAACCAAATCTTTACATCCAGGTAGTGCAATCGTCAGACCATCAAGAGCTTCAACTGCCCTCCATGGGGAACCAGGATCACCTTCTCGTACAGGAAGAGCCAGTGTTCGACTTTCTTCTTCGTTATACGTCCAGTCGCTGTCAACAGGAGAGTTTGGTAGGGGCATGTACCTTAGAGTTTTACTGAATAAGTAGTAGAGTGGCCATGTAAGATACTCATATGCATAAACAACTAGTTTAATTAATTCGATCCCAACAGGGACAAGAATCTTAGGGACACACTTCATAATTTTCCAGTGAAACGAAACCTCAACTAGATATTGTTAAACACAAGTGTTGAAAACGCGGGGTCCGCACTAATACAGTGTCGATTGAATAACCTTTAAATGTGCAAGCCAGTTCAAAGTTAAATGATTTGACTTTGCATGCATCATGGTTAATGCTGGGGTATAAAATTAACTAGTTTTTGTTCCTGACTGTTTCTGGCTGAAACAGTTTTCTTACTATCTATATTTGGCTTCAGTAACCCCCAGTGCATTCCCAATGAGACAGACCAACCTGAAAAAAACATGTGTATGCATAGTTCTAATGATACCTTACAGATTAGGTTTCTTCAAAGACCCCTCTTTACATAATCATCTATCGGAAATTCAGTAGCTGTCCTAGGAAATATGAGACTGTCGATTTCTGGCTTGCTTTAAGTCTTGTGAGAACGGTTTCAGGTATTTGAAGAATTACGAAGTAATACATCCGAACACTTATTGATGTAGCTCTTACAAGTCCGACAGATAGTTGAGTTTCCGCTCAATCTGTTGTGGAGGCCTCGTTTGCTCCGAGACTGACGCTGATGGGATTTTCAAATACCGTGTAACTGTATAGCCGTTAGGATTGGTCAAAAACAGCAGAAAGAAGAGGCAAAGGCTAAGTAAGAAGACGAAAGTAAATTTCCGAAAGGGTACTGATAAAAGGAAATTTAAACGACTAGAAAAGCATTAAAACCTTAGTAGGAGGAAAATGGGAGAATGTACGGTTCAGTTTATAATCGTGTCAGCTCGGGTCAGGTTATTCTGAGTTATTGAGCACTTAAATATTGTCCTTACAATTGATCCCCACAAGGTCTCCCTTTAAGTCCTACGATACTATTTATCTCTTCGCCTAAGGTCTAACTCAAGGAGCGGACACTTATTTTCATGATGCCATGACGCGCAAAAATCAAGATGGTAGTGAACACACATCTTCATATATCTTAAGGAAAAGCTGAGAAGTAAGTACAACTGCATAGTTTCGAAAAAAGAGATATTCTGTAGTCATTCATGGCGTCCAGACAGAGACTGGTGGTAGCCTCTCCTGCTTGAAGATGGCATATTTCAGCTGCAATTGGAGAGTGCCCATTGAATCCGAGAGACTCTTGGCAATAACATGTGAAGAACACTAATCTTATTACGTACGTTTTGCATCTACTTACAATTTTCGCTTGTTTTCCCATCATCTTTGTAGTGTAACGCCATCTGTGTGAAAAGAAGAGAAGAATTTCATCTTGGCCGATGCTGGGGTGCAGGAATACCATAATAAGCGGCGTTTCCAATGGACTCTTAGGTAGGAGATGCTTTATGAATTACTTTTTGATGCTTAGATGTAGATTTCCTTATCCGGAAGATATTTAAGGGAAGATTTCAGCTAGTTATCATCTGGGGGGTTTTTTAAAGTAGTGGTATCAAATATGGCCACGCGAAATCCCTGAGGATATGCAAGTTAAAGTTTGAGGAGATCGTCAGTTCCGATGACTGCTTGGGTGTGCGCAATCTATGCCTCCCTTAAAGGAGGCGGGTAGAACCCGAAGTGATATCGACCAGCAGCACTTGTATCAGTGCGTAAGAATTAATGGGGAACGTGGCGGAAGACCATGTCAGTCAGCCCCGCATCTCTAATCCTCTGGCAGCCAACGATAACTGGATGGCCTCCTAGGACCTTCCTGCTCACGTGATTTTCCTGGGACTCACCAAGTCCCATGATGCGGTTTCACATGCCATTCTCGTATGCGAAATATCAAGGCTTGGTAGCAGTGGTCAAGTGCTCTCCTGGCTGAAGGATTATTTGAATGAAAGGGAATTCTGCGCAGGATTCATCAGGGTTCGATCGGCTTGGATGACATCACCGCCGGGTATACCACATGGAGCCATTCAGGGTCTTCTGCTGTTCTTTCTTCTTGTGCACGACTTTCCATTAAGTCTCAGCCTCCCAATCCTGCTTTACGCTGACCGTGCTGAGCTACAGAAAGTGATAACATCCGGAACAGAATCGAGTGTGCTAGAAAGTGAACCCAGATTACCTACGGAGCAGGCGAATGGCAACGGAATGCCGTTTAACCTGGGTAAGTGCCCAATCACGCTTCTCCACACTTCCTACCAGCAAAAGGTATCGTTCTTTCCCCCTCTTCGTGGTGCGCAACTTTCCGACACGACCGAGGGGAAGGACCTGGCTCCAGTGCTGACAGAAAAGCTAGACCCCTCCCAGCTACACGGGAGATGCCCACGTGGTCTACGCGCTGTTGTACTTCATGTCCAGATAACTAAGTGCCCCCACCCAGGGCTCTTCTTGAAGCCCCACAAAACCTGTGTGCGGCTGCCTAAATTCCATGACGCCATCGCACCACCACGTCTGGAAAGAGGTGTGAACCTCCTGGGAAGAGTGCAGAGGGGAACAACGAAGTGCTGCGAGAGTGAGTCAAAAACCCTATGAGGACAGCCCAAAGGGCCTAGCTCTTCCCTCTTTCGTTTGCAGTAGGTCTTGTGGTGACTTGATAATGGCCTATAAAAAGCTAGGTAGTCCGAGTTTCCTGAATAGTGAAATCCCACGTGGTGGCTCATGTGGCAGTGCCTGCAGTAACCCAAGGACAATATTCCACCGGAGAGGCGAAAACCCAGCGAATTCATACTTTTTCGCTCCGCACGTTTGAGACTACTAGAGCTGCCCACCTACCAAGATCGCTACCACCCCTTTGTCGACAGCCTCTAGAGGAGGTTGGGTGGCTCTGAAGTGACGCACAGCCTGCGCTCATCCGGCTAGGATACAGATAAGGTGGATACGGCGGGCTTAGTCCAACCGGTCTAGCACGGTTGAGCCTATTTCGAGTCTTATCTACCGCTGGCAGTATCGCGACCCTGGCTGAACCTTATACTTCCCTTTTGCACACCACGCCTCCAGTTGCCATCCCCCTTGACGACACTACCACTTCTCTTCCCGTAGTCCCTCCCGCAATCGTACCCTCTGCTTCTAGTCATCCTAGCTTTGTGGTCTCACATTGATAATTAAGGTTCCCCTTATAATGGTTTTGCCACCCGCTCTCCCTAGACCCACCGTGAATTCTTCTTTCATTATATTCTTTTTCTTTTCCATCTGCTTTTTCTTACTTCTCCCCCCTGTTTTCACTGGAAGTCGTTTCGTCCCTTTTATCTTCTTTTTAAGATCAGCCTGAGCAGCTGCCTGGAGGGGCGACATTTGAGAAACCCGCAAGCACTGCAGTCGTTCAATAAATCAGGCAGTCCCTATCGATTTTATCAATACAGAACCATTCGTCTGGCTAACCAGAGCTGAAACAGGCAAGTGGAGGGATATGCTGAAGTTGAATCTCCCAAAAGACCTATGACTGTTCCGCCAAACCCAAAATGGATAGCGAAGAAATCGATCCGTTTGCACAAGCTCGTAAAAAGATATATAGCGCGGAATACACTAGATGCCGCAACAACTTGATCGATGGAGAACTCGGGAAACTTTCGCCTGGTTGTTTTGACAATATACAGATGTGAAAATACAAACATCCCGAAGACTCTAGAAGCAAATCTCTTGCAGCGGAGAGGCTTGTGCAGAAAATTTCTTTCAGCTTTGTTCCCGCATAACTAATAATGGGTTCGAAGTTCAGTTACGCCGTTTCCTGCTCACTCTCCAACAGGTTCTAAGGATGATTTATCCCCCATTTTTAAAATAAAGTGGGATACTGAACTTGGTGGTTCTTCCAGAATTGTTACTCATAAGAGTAACTTTCTTTTCGACTTTAATGGGCAGTAATCTACTGACCATGATAATACAAAGTGGTATGTTCGGGCCTTTCGTAGAAGAGACTAACATCTATGAATTTCCAATTTTTACCAAACATATTCAGTCAACAGCGTATTACAACAAATGTGGTATGCTGAAATCTGATAGCGGCAGTGATAATTGCGAGATAATTGCCATTAACAAAATGGTCGCAAAATAGGCTGCACAGTATTCAGACTACTGTTACCTTCCCTTGCGACGGTTATCCGGATTCAAAAGCCGTGAATCAACCAAGTAAAAGATTTTGAGCGAAATGAGGAGGTGATATAACTAAGATTTTGACCACAAACAGAATTATTTCACACACGTAAAACCCATGGACATCGAAGAACTGGAGTGTTTTGCGTGGGGATTCACCTCTCCCTGGTCGGATCAAAAAACCGAAGTCAGGAGAAGAACCAAGATCAAGATCAGCAGCAGGAGATCAAGACGGAAAAGTGGCGAGTTTACCTGCAGCGAGGCTCCACCAGTAAATCTCGCCAAGACCTCTGCGGTTAAGATGAAGACTTATCTAAGTGGTTTTAACACACTGTACGAAGCCCACGTAGCCGCCTAAACAAGTGGACTGAGCCCGGCAGTGTAACAAGCACGGAAATTGCTGGCATTATTACTGCCTCGGAAACTTGACCTTCTTCTGAGACCAGTGACAGTGAAACAAATTTACAAGGAATCGTTCCTTTTAAAAGTGATAGGTTGGAACAAAGAGTTGGTGGCATCGTCATTTGCGTTAAGAATACCTTAGCTGCAAGAGCCACGGAAACGGTCGCTCAAGGGAATAGGACATGTGAAATGCTACGCCGCCGACTGAAATTCAAGGGACGTATAATAACCTGATCATAGAATATCTAAGCCCTGGATGTGAGATAGGAAATTTCCTATTGAATGAGCTGACTCGGTGAACAGATAATTGCAGACTTCAGTAAACCAGCAGTTTATCGGGACAGACTAACAACAAAAGCGTCGAGCAATTCGTCTAGTCACCGGTTAGTGGAAACACCTATTCTTTTGGCCCTTATACAACACACCAGGACAGCAACCTAATGTAACTGAGTCCGAGCGGGAAGTGGGCTCAAATAATAAGCGAAATAAGTAATAAGGCAACGAGATACTTGGACCGGATACAAGTAGTGAGGCTGTTCTCCCTCACACTTGATACTTCACCGAGGTGTGAAAATCAGAAGACAAAAGGCGGGCTTGCGACTGACTTAAGAAAGACGATTTTAGTTGATAAACGACAGTAATTACATACAGCTACTACTTAGAAAATGAAGTCTCTAGA